GGAAACTGCTACCTATTTTCTTCATAGTGCCTAATTTGTCATGGAATTGCCATTTCTAACTGCTGTCATTACTTTTTGTTGTTTCAACTGCTTTCAAAGAGGATTCTTAAATCATGGAACGTGATAATTAGCTCGATAACTGTCTCAATAACTGCTATCCTGGATGACTACAATATCTCACAGATTAGGATTCTAGGCAACTTGAAGGTTTGAGTGAAAACGAGGTTGTCGCGCTGAGCGACAGTGAGGCACTCCATTCATCTAAACTCTGGGCGTCATGTAAGCTTGGGCGATGATATTACTGTGTTCGTAGGCTCCTTCTGCACTTACCAACAACCTCATTTGAGCTTTTATCCCGGGCCTCCAATTGGGCTTCACTCTTTGGGCTATCCAATTTGGACTGTATTTTTAGTGTGTCAACAATTACCCCCCCAATATGACAAATTTAATACCAATTATTAACTTATGCCTTATTCACCTTGTATTTCCTAGGCAATATTTGAGATTCCCGAGAATTTCAATCATCGTTTCTTTTTTCAGCTTTAAAAGGTGCAACATTACAAACCCTTATAAACCCAAAAGACGCGGCATTTCTTCACCTACTAAACCACGTTCCTGTACTTCGTGCTTCTTCCCCTCTATTTTCACTATTCATCTTCTTACTTCTTCACTACGTTTGAACCTTAACATAACTGCACTTTGCACTCAATGACGTCTTCACAAACTCAATGTGATGATGTTTTTAGTTTCGAAGATTTCCGGAATATCCTTGCTAGGCCTTATATAAATGTAAACTTCCTCGCACCGGCCAATGATGACCTCAATGAATTCTACTTAGGTCCGTCATTCAATAATGCCGAAGCCATTGAACAGGTGGCTGTGGGCCAGTTGTTTCCTTGCATCGAAGACCTTTAATTTCTGAACTCTTTGAAAATCTGATCCTAATTTTCGTAGATGGCATGCATGTATGATGAATCATGGTCCCACTAAAACAATTTTTGATCGTGCTAAAATTTTGGACTTGTTAGAAATTACCCTTTCTCCCTCGACTTATGCCCCAGTGCTTTTCCTAGTCGCCCTGAGTTTCTGGTCCTCTGAGTACAATATTTTTATCTTTCCTCTTGGCCCAATGTCTATTATTCTAAAGGATGTTAGAGTCTTAGTAAATCTTCCGCCTTTGGGCGACACTATCTTTCCTGGTATTTTAATTTCCAGTGTTGCCCCTCAATTTGACAAGAAGATTGTCGAATCTTATTCAAGCATGCATGACCTTTATACAGCTTCCATTTCTGAGCCTACCCATGCTGAGCGCGTTCTTTCCTTCAGGTTTGGCTTTGTAAATATATTCTTTGTGTCCCCATCCCGAAACCCTTTTTGAGTTATCTGCCTCTGTCGCATGAATTAGCACGTGGCAAACCTTTGAATTTGTGCTCAATCTTTTGGCCGCCTTTTATAGAGGCATGAATTCTCTTCAATTCCAATTGCGGAATGGTGTGTCTCCTATTGGTAGTGGGCCACTTGGCTTGCTTAATTGTGGTTGAAAGCCTATTTTCCACAACTGGTGCTCTTAGCTGTTATGGGCTATTCATTCATCATATGAGCNTTACCTATTTGGGTCCAGTTTTTAGTTGGAAGAGAATTGTTCCATGACATTGTCACAAGAACAAATGCCAAAACAGGGGTTGCAATATATGCTCCCCAATTTTTTGCTCGCCAGCTTGGTTTGGCTAGACATGGCCTGTCCCTCCTTGTTACTCTAAAAGCTTGGCGGAGCTTTTCCATATTATCAGCAAAACTGAAGCGCAAGCCATTGACGTTCGTAATAACCGTTTAGCCGAAGGTTTCTCTTTAGCCCCTTTCAGTTCCACCACTGTTACACATCCTCTTTTTGAACAGCTTTGACTATCAGTGAAACGTAGACTATTTGCAACTGATGCTAATCGCACCTTCCATTTGCTGGATCGGTCAAACACTTCATCTGCCTCTCCTGTTTTGGCCGCTCTTTTGTCCATTAGGAGTCCTTCCTCACCAGCTCACGTTAAATGTTCTATTCCTCCGTCTTCTTCTCCTTCTACTAAGACTATCACATCCAAAGGCACCTCCAGCCGCAAACGGACAGCCTCAGCATCCCCCATTTTGCAAGATGATGATGATGATACTCTTCTCATTCTTAGGAGAAAGGCAACTGGATCTGTTTATTCACAAACATACTTACTTATGTACTAATGGTTTACCTAAATTTCTCAGAAGAGTTCAGCCTCCCCTTCGAAGGCTCTAGTTTGGCAGGTCCTATTTCATCNATCTTCTTACTTCTTCACTACGTTTCAACCTTAACATAACTGCACTTTGCACTCAATGACGTCTTCACAAACTCAATGTGATGATGTTTTTAGTTTCGAAGATTTCCGGAATATCCTTGCCAAGCCTTATATAAATGTAAACTTCCTCGCACCGGCCAATGCTGACCTCAATGAATTCTACTTAGGTCCGTCATTCAATAATGCCGAAGCCATTGAACAGGTCGCTGTGGGCCAGTTGTTTCCTTGCATCGAAGACCTTTAATTTCTGAACTCTTTGAAAATCTAATCTTAATTTTCGTAGATGGCATGCACGTATGATGAATCATGGTCCCACTAAAGCAATTTTTGATCGTGCTAAAATTTTGGACTTGTTAGAAATTACCCTTTCTCCCTCGACTTATGCCCCAGTGCTCTTCCCAATCACCCTGAGTTTCTGGTCCTCTGAGTACAATATTTTTATCTTTCCTCTTGGCCCAATGTCTATTACTCTAAAGGATGTTAGAGTCTTAGTAAATCTTCCGCCTTTGGGCGACACTATCTTTCCTGGTATTTTGATTTCCAATGTTGCCGCTCAATTTGACAAGAAGATTGTCGAATCTTATTCAAGCATGCATGGCCTTTATATAGCTTCCATTTCTGAGCCTACGCATGCTGAGCGTGTTCTTTCCTTCAGGTTTGGCTTTGTAAATATATTCTTTGTGTCCCCATCCCGAAACCCTTTTTGAGTTATCTACCTCTGTCGTATGAATTAGCACGTGGCAAACCTTTGAATTTATGCTCATTCTTTTGGCCGCCTTTTATAGAGACATGAATTCTCTTCAATTCCAATTGCGGAATGGTGTGTCTCCTATTGGTAGGGGGCCCCTTGGCTTGCTCAATTGTGGTTGAAAGCCTATTTTCCACAACTAGTGCTCCACCGTCTCCCCCTCGAACAGTTAGCTGTTATGGGCTATTCATTCATCATATGAGCCATGTAAATATATCCAGTATGGACGTTTTCACATTCTTTTATATTTTGAATTCAACGCCTTCTTTCTTTC